AAAAATCTTTCAAATGCGACTGTAGCTTTTTCCCCCCAAAACTCTGTTTTCAAAATAAGGGTGCGTTTTATATTCCTAAAAATACGGTAAGTCACACCGGTGCGTAACTATCCAGTATCAAGGAAAACTTTCTGTCTGTGGACGCAGCTTCTCCTAAACGAGTTGATCGAACCAGACCAAACTTGGCATGCTAACTTAGTAGTCCAAAAACAAACCATGCATTACAAAATAAAAATATTTTATAGAATAACCCCTGTGTCGTAACTGTAGAAGCTATTTTAAATAGATAAGTTTGAACAATACTCACAACACTGCGAAAGGAATCTGCAGCCATTACCAAAACAGACAAGTGTCTGAAAACTTTTGTTACACTGCCTACAGCTATTTATCTCAAAAATATAAATAAAAACAATTCGGTGATGATACCTAACTCCACCATGACAGTAAAATAAGGGTAATATTTAATAATTCTAAATATGTAAGCATATATACATTAGCGAAATTTTTTGCAGAAATATATTTTTCTGTGAACTTATTTGTATGTTACAATATAGTTTCTGTCTTTTTGAACGAGTGTTAGCTCTTTCTAAACGTATGAACTTTGACGTTTCAGAAGTTCTAGCTCTATATTTAGAGCGAAAAGTAGGTCGCTTCGTCGTGGATACTAGTGAATTTGAGGAGTATGTTCCATTTAGCTATCTAGTATCGTCTAGTGAGTAATAAAGGTAAGCTTTAAGTTTCTCTTCGCAATTGAAAATTCAAGTTGGATTGAAGCAAAAATAAAACTTCTTATTTTATTTTTTTCTAAATAAGTTATCAATTGACACAGAACTTCTCTATAAGGACCCCCAATGCCACAGCAGTATGTCTGCTGACTTACAACGCTAGAAACCGGGTTTCGATACCCATGGTGGACTAAGCTTGAAACAAACTTTCCTGTAGGCCTACGATGTGTGGAAACGTCACTGTTACTTAGTGATGTTTAAGGATGAACCACATTTAATAACAGCGGCAAAGAAGCTGTCATTCGTAGATCACACAATAAAAAAATAATTAAAGTGTCTGCTATTTCAGTTAACAGTATGTTTGAACGCCGCGTAAACCCGTGAATCAGTTATACGCTTAAAGCATTTACCATCATTTGGCTATTTATAGTCGAATATTTTGATTGCGAAGACGTTATTAATTGTATAGGAAAAGGAACTTATTTTCTTAGCGAATGCTTACATTTCTTTTAGTTCTTTGTTTTGCATATACATCTTAAATATGTGTATATAATTTCCAGTATTGTACAACAGCCAATTTTGTCGATCACTTATAGTGAAAACTTTAGTAAATTACATACATATATAGTTACCAAGCAAAGAAACCTTTAAAAATGTATACATCTGCCAGCGAATAATGATTTGTTAATTATCCGACCATTCAAACAACAGATAAGACTGATCATCTTTTTTGGCATCTATATAATTATAATAGTATTGCCTGTTGTATGTCCATGTTACTACTTCGCAGGGTCTGGATAGATCTTACCAAAATGGGTACGGAGGTTCATTAGGTACATGCGGGGGTACATAAAAATTTTTAGTTTTGCGTTTTGCAGTTGTTATGAACGTTTTGCGTTTTTTACCACTACTTCGCCCCCTTTTGATGGATCTTCTATCTTCACCAAATATGACTTCAAGGTTTGTTAGGTTCATGCGGAGATACAAATTTGTGGTTTCACATTTCATGTTTTGCAGTTTTTATGGGCGTTTTTTTACAATTACATATAAGGGAAGCAACTTTTCATGCCCTGAGATAACCTTCTATTAATCATGAATTTACATAAGTTGAGTCCAGAGGAAGGGTACTCCAGCTAGTTATTGATATATATTAGGTTTTAGTCGAGTTTTCAATAAAATAAAAACACGATACTATGTCGCTTGTTCTTACTTTTTTACTAACAAAATAACGTAAAATTCAGGAAGAGGTTCGTGGCAATTTTTAAGCGCTGTTGCGCACGAGTGTTTCTTAACTTTATTGTCTGTTTGAGACGCCT